TGTTACATTTGAAAGAGTTTTGGAGAAATTCGCTTCCGGTTCCAAGTTATGGACATTTTTCTGATTTTAAAATGAAATTTTATCCACGCGAGATCTAAAGAATGGCTAAAGATATGAACTGGAGACTTGTTGGAGAGCATAGAACATGACTTCTAGATATGCGGGTTTGCCTTTTCGTGCGTCGTGAGTATTTCCGGTCGCTACCGGAAGCGAATTTAAAAAGTCAATTTTTTCAACTTTTACGTTTTTCAATATTTTTTTTTAATTTTAATAGAGGTAATAGAGATTCTTATCGTAATGCTTAATATATAATTTGTTTTTAAAATTGTCCACCAGAAGATATTTTAAAAATAGATTTTTTAGACAAATCTTGTGCACGCAATATCTCGAGAACTATTCAATGGTTTTTCATCAAACTTTCAGGGATAATGCGCTATAAAATGCCATTGTTACATTTGAAAGAATTTTGGAGAAAATCATTTCCGGTTCCAAGTTATGGACATTTTTCTGATTTTGAAATGAAATTTTATCCACGCGAGATCTAAAGAACAGCTAAAGATATGGACTGGAGACTTGTTGGAGAGCATAGAACATGACTTCTAGATATGCGGGTTTGCCTTTTCGTGCGTCGTGAGTACTTCCGGTCGCTACCGGAAGCGAATTAAAAAAGTCAATTTTTCAACTTTTACGTTTTTCAATATTTTTCTTTGATATTAGTGGGGTAATATTTCTTTATAGATGCTAGTTACTGAACATAATAGGTATCGGATTCCTTGAGCGTCATATGGCGAAACGTGTTTTGTTGCAAAACATTCTAGTCTTTTCATTAATGTGTTACTAATTGGAATAATCCACTTTGGGGGTAAAGAGAAATATAAAATGTGTAAGGAAACTTAGCGCTGCCTTTATGTTATTTGCCTGTATACGATATGTTATATATACAGTGTGATAAATATACATTCTTAGGCTCGAAATTCAGGCTATAGCAACATATATTTTTTTAAATTTCATTGAAGCTATCACGTACACTTATTCAATTGAAGACACATTCCAAACAAAAGGCGCGAAGATTTACTCGTGACCTTTGGCGCGAAATATTGATCTTGACCCGCCTTTCACAAATGGTCTGATGCAGTAGTGTAGAAGTACAAAAAAAGATTACGCGGACATGTCTGTATTTGGAATTGCATAGAATAGAAAGTTGAATGCATAAAGAATAAAGGAAGTAAACACAATAGTTTTTTTTTTTTAATTTTGATCAGTAACAGATTATTTTCTCCGCTATCAGTTATTCTTAAAACTCAAGTAACAAATCCGATGTAAATCTACTAGTACTTGCACAAAATTTAGCTGGCTAGTTTTCATCCTATAATTCCGCACTATAAGAAAAAAAATTAACCTGCCTGACACTCGTTACTTCAGGGAATGAGTGCAAGGTAAACATCGATGATGGCTGGTACATTGCGCTAATGTAGTGGTTTCAATATTAAAGAACAAGGTTCAATTAGGGTCTTTTTTGGCCCTGTGAATTTCAGAAAAATTGAAACTGCTTGGTTTTAGTTGACAATGCATTAAATATCATTTAAACCTTTGATGACTGCGTATCTATCAAAAAGACGTAATTTTCTGGCTAGCCAATGCATTATGACGTCATGAAATGCGCCATTTTCCTCATATCCTGAAAAATTCTAAAAAACAGCCAATTTTTAAAGCTATTTTTCGATATTTAATATAGAGCGTAACCTCTGATCTTAAATATGCAACTATTAACTGATAGAACTATTTCTGAGGATTAGAAAACCTGTTTTATTTTTTTTTAGATCAGAGGGTGCGCTCATATTATTTCTCTTCTGTGAAAGTACTCAAATATACTAGTTTTCCTTAAAATTCAATAACATTGCAATTCCATGAAGCCTGTTTTCCAGAACCTTTGCTTTAAGGAGAAAATTTTTAATAGGTTATGAAAGCACTAAGTCTCTACTTTATCTTGATGTTTAAAATGGAACATAAAGTGTTAGTCAATAAATTGGTATATCTACAGGTCCATTTTATGCATAAAGTGAACCTAGCTCTTTTCAGGCAGCCGATCTTGGTTTAATCCCGACTATATCTGAATTTTTTGCATTTTTCGTTTTTATTTATCTAGAGTAACCTTAAATATCTTTCAAAATTTCACTTTTGGTCGCGTGTTTTTCTGTCCTCAAAATGAGAAATTGTCTGAGCGACATCTCAAAAATAGGTAAAAGATTAAAACACCAAATTTTTATGAGTAACAGACCTTGAGGAGTAGGCAAAACCATTTTGGATAAACGCGTCAGTCTAAACTTCCGGTCGTCACAGGAAGTCATCAAAGAAATAAAAAAATTTAACTTTTCTTTTTAAAATTAAAGTTTGCATTAATTTATTGTATCTCTTTCGCTGTTTTAAAACTTCAACTTCCGTTTTAGGTGATAAACTAAGTTATTTCGATATTTAACTTTTGTCATAAATATTGCTTATCGATAAAGTACTTGAAATGTTTTTTATGCATTTTGTAGATACTGCAAATGTCTACAGAAACGTCAGAGATTTTTTTTTTTAATAAAATTCACTTCCAGTCGCTTGTTTACCTGTCCTCAAAATTAGAATTTGTTTTCACAATATTGCTCGGCAACAGTAAACGATTGAAGTCTGAAACTTTCAGGACTGATAGTCAGTCATCAGTTTTCTTAATCGCGAGAAAATCTCGTATCGCTGTTACTTCCGGTCGTGACAGGAAGTGATGCAAAAAAGTGAATGGTTAATAGTTAGCTCGTTGGATTTTCAGGCTGACGACCAGGGTTAAATCTCCAGAGTGTCTGAATTTCTTTTATCACCTTTTCAGCTTGAATTTACGTTTTTATTCTCAAAATCGGACGGAAGACCTCTCATTGCTCGCAATGAGTTTCTAGTTATTATTATTTTTCTTCCTGGGTACTTTTTTGTCCGTGAGTGATCTCCGAAACTACACATCCGATTGAGGTGAAACCTTTTTAGGGTTAATAGGAATGTTATGTAGATTTGCGGAACGAAGGTCATTTTGCGCGCACGCGCATGCACGTGCGTGCGCGTGCAATGCGTAAAATGACCAATATACTTGATATAGCTGTAGCTTTTATATTTTTTGATGAAATGCTTTGATACTCAGAATATAAGGATATATTAATAGTGTAGACAAGATGACATGGTCAGAATGCGCATGCATGCACGTGCGCGCATGCGCATTGATTGAAATAACCAATACAATTGATATAGACTTAACTTATACGTTTTTTGATGAATTGCATTGAAACTCAGAATATAAATATATATTAGAAGTGTACACAAGAAGACTTGATCAGCGCACATATACATGCACGTGCGTGCACGTGCGTGCGCATGCAATGAGTAAAATGACAGATATACTTGATATAGCTATAACTTTCATATCTTTTGATGAAATGCGTTGATACTCAGGATATCAGGATATATTAAAAGTATAGACAAGATGACATGGTCAGAATGCACATGCATGCACGTGCGCGCGTGTGCAATGATTGAAATAACCAATACAAATGATATAGAATTAACTTGTACATTTTTTTTATGAATTGCTTTGAAACTCAGAATATAAATATATATTTGAAGTGTACACAACATGACATGATCAGCGCACATGCATGCACGTGCATGCGCATGCAATGAGTAGAATGACCAATATACTTAATATAGCCAAAACTTTCATATCTTTTGATGAAATACTTTAATACTCAGAATATAAGGATATATTAATAGTGTAGACAAGATGACATGGTCAGCATGCACATGCATGCACGTGCGCGCGTGTGCAATGATTGAAATAACCAAAACAACTGATATAGACTTAACTTGCACATTTTTTGTTGAATTGCATTGAAACTCAGAATATAAATATATATTACAAATGTAGACAAGACGACATTGTCAACATGCACATGCATGCACATGCGCGCGCATGCAATGCTAAAATGACCAATATACTTGATATAGCTGTAACTTTTATACTTTTTGATGAAATGCTTTGATACTCAAAATATGTAGATATATTAATAGTGTTGACAAGATGACACGGTCATCATGGACATGCATGCACGTGCGCGCGCTTGCAATGCGTAAAATGACAGATATACTTAATATAGCCGAATTTTTTTTTATCTTTTGATGAAATTTGAATATAAAGATGTATTAAAAGTGTAGACAAGTTGAGATGGTCATTTTGTACATGTATGCCCGTGCCCGTGCGCACGCGTGTAATGCGTGAAAAAACCAATATACTTGATTGTCTTACTTAATGAAGCTTACAGGGAATAAGACACCAAAAGGAAGTTGGGGAGCGTTTGGGGAACATCTGTAACGGTCCCCGTTACAATTAATACTAGTTTGAATTTATTTAATCAATTTAAGTAAGCAAAAATTATTTCTGTTCATCTGTACTTTGTTTTTTTTTTAAACTTTTTTCCTGGGAGTAAATGGCAGGTACTCTATGCTGAAAAAGAAATACCGGGTAGTTAAACTCAATTTTTAGACCCTTATTTGTATGATATACGGTAATTTTCTCTATGACAAAAAACTTTTTTCATAAATGTATTGATTGTCCAAAACTTACATTCATTACTTAATGAGGTGCCCGCATGGTGCAGTGGTTAGAGCGTTCACTCTAGAACCATGGAGTAAGGAGTTGATCTTTACGTAGCGGGTTCGAATCCCACTGTGGGACGTGGAGACCGGTCCTTCGGATGAGATCGTATAAACCGAGGTCCTGTGTTGCAGTAGGTGCTGGCACGAAAAACCCTCACTGCTCAATGGTCCTGAGTGCCAAGCATAGGTCAAAATTTGCAGCTCTCCACAGGCAAATGGTGGCGTCTCCATATGAGTGAAAAATTCTCGAGAGGGACATTAAACAACAAACAAACAAACAGCTCAAAATGTTTGTAAAATTAAAAAGTAATTTATTTTTATCTTAGTTCAAAATGGAGAGGCTACCAGAACATTTACAGAAAGACGCTGTTATCAAGCTAGAAGAGATGGCTGAAGCTGTGAATCTTCCTATTGAAAAAAGTACTCACAAGGAAAAAGTTCCCATTTCACATGTCCTAAATCCTAAAATTCATCGCGGAGGAATTCCAAATCACCTTTTAAGCACAATATTAATGAAGAAACAGGACTTACCAGATGTTGCACAAGAACATGCGAAAGTAACGGTTGCAAAGAAAGAACATTTAGAAGTTGAACCAGCCAGGGAGAAACATACAAAAGTACAGGCATCTGAACTAGAAAACAGAGAAATCATACAATCTGTACCAGAACATAAAGAGGTGATTTCATCTGAACCTGAACACAAAGAGGTGATATCGTCTGAACCTGAACACAAAGAGGTGATATCGTCTGAACCTGAACACAAAGAGATGATATCATCTGAACCTGAACACAAAGAGGTGATATCATCTGAACCTGAACACAAAGAGATGGTAAAATCTGAACCTGATCGTAAGGAGATGGTATCCTCTAAATCAGAACCAGAAAATGTTCAATCTGTGAAAAAGGGACAAACAGAATTAAGGGAAGTACAAGAGTCAACAGGGATGTCTGACAGCTCTGTCAAGAAGGCTGAAGCAGAAAAAGAACCGTCATCTTCTGACAGTGAGAGTTCTGATGACAGTGACAGTTCTGATAGTGACAGCGATGATAATGACAGTGATGATAAAAAGGGAGATGAAAGCGATGAAGGTCTCAGTGATAACCAAGGAAGTTTATCTGAAGAGAGCAAAGATGAAAAAGACCCAAATAAAAAATAATTTTAACAACTCTAAATATGCTGGATTTAGTGTGAATTTTTGTTACATTGAGTATGAATGAATATTATTGAAATTGTAAATTTGTTTCAATATATAGGTATAATAAAGATGTTACATAAATGGAATATTCTTTTAATTTTAAAAATATGATGAAAAGGTAAATTTCCTTTGGAAATAAGCATTATCTTTGTCTCAGATAAGTGTGTATGAGGTCACATTATGCAAAAGTTCAGATAGGTATGAGGTCACATTATGTAAAGGTTCAGATGGGTATGAGGTCACGGTATGTACATGTAAAGGTTCAGATGGGTATAAGGTCACATTATGCAAAGGTTCATATGGGTATGAGGTCACATTATGTAAAGGTTCATATGGGTATGAGGTCACATTATGTAAAGGTTCAGTTTGGTATGAGGTCACATTATGCAAAGGTTCAGATGGGTGGGTATGAGGTCACATTATGCAAAGGTTCAGATGGGTGGGTATGAGGTCACATTATGCAAAGGTTCAGATGGGTATGAGGTCATGTTATGTAACAGGGTAAAGGTTCAGATGGGTATGAGATCACATTATGCAAAGGTTCATATGGGTATGAGGTCACGTTATGTAAAGGTTCAGGGGTGGGTATGAGGTCACATTATGCAAAGGTTCAGATGGTTATGAGGTCATGTTATGTAACGGGGTAAAGGTTCAGATGGGTATGAGGTCATGTTATGTAAAGGTTCAGATGGGTATGAGGTCATGTTATGTAAAGGTTCAGATGGGTATGAGGTCACATTATGCAAAGGTTCATATGGGTATGAGGTCATGTTATGTAAAGGTTCAGATGGGTGGGTATGAGGTCACATTATGCAAAGGTTCAGATGGTTATGAGGTCATGTTATGTAACGGGGTAAAGGTAGTAAATTTAGTAGTAGTAAATTTTATTTATAGTCGGAATATATACATTTAACAAAAAACATGAGCTTTAAGGCTCTTTTACCGACTAGAATGGGTATGAGGTCATGTTATGTAAAGGTTCAGATGGGTGGGTATGAGATCACATTATGCAAAGGTTCAGATGGTTATGAGGTCATGTTATGTAATGGGGTAAAGGTTCTGATGGGTATGAGGTCATGTTATGTAAAGGTTCAGATGGGTATGAGGTCATGTTATGTAAAGGTTCAGATGGGTATGAGATCACATTATGCAAAGGTTCATATGGGTATGAGGTCACGTTATGTAAAGGTTCAGATGGGTGGGTATGAGGTCACATTATGCAAAGGTTCAGATGGTTATGAGGTCATGTTATGTAACAGGGTAAAGGTTCAGATGGGTATGAGGTCACATTATGCAAAGGTTCATATGGGTATGAGGTCACGTTATGTAAAGGTTCAGATGGGTGGGTATGAGGTCACATTATGCAAAGGTTCAGATGGTTATGAGGTCATGTTATGTAACAGGATAAAGGTTCAGATGGGTATGAGATCACATTATGCAAAGGTTCATATGGGTATGAGGTCACGTTATGTAAAGGTTCAGATGGGTGGGTATGAGGTCACATTATGCAAAGGTTCAGATGGTTATGAGGTCATAATATGTAACGGGGTAAAGGTTTAGATGGGTATGAGGTCATGTTATGTAGAGGTTCAGATGGGTATGAGGTCATGTTATGTAAAGGTTCAGATGGGTATGAGGTCACATTATGCAAAGGTTCAGATGGGCATGAGGTCACATTATGTAAAGGTTCAGATGGGTATGAGGTCATGTTATGTAAAGGTTCAGATGGGTATGAGGCCACATTATGCAAAGGTTCAGATGGTTATGAGGTCACATTATGCAAAGGTTCAGATGGGTATGAGTTCACATTATGCAAAGGTTCAGATGGGTACATGTATTTCCCAACTTAGATTCTCCTTGTTTGTGTCTGTTCAACTCTCTTTATTATTTTTTAAAATTGAACCAAGGACCAATTTCATCCAAACTTACCCCTTGAGTGAAGGCACATTCAAATTTGTTTAAATATAAGGCCAGTTAATGGGAGAGGGATAAGAATTATTTAAGTCATATTCCAAAAAATAGATGGGCCAGAAAAGGTGAAAGTTAATTAATAAGGATGTTTTTTTTCTCAAGAACAACAAAAATAGAAATAGTCAAATAATTTGCAAATTATCCCATAAAGTGCTGATTCAAGTTTCTTCAAATCATGCCACCCTCTAAACAGGCATCAGTGGGGAAGGGGGAGGAAGTTTTTTTTTGGTCACTCGAGTCACCCAGCTGACCCAGCATTGTGCATCACAGTTTAACATTTGAACATTTTCACTTCTCTATTGGAACCGCTGAACCAATGTCTGATAGCATCTATGGGTGAAGGGGAATAAAACTTGTGATTTCATAGACCTTGCCCCCTCCCCCAGGGCCTGAGGGTTCGGGCTAAAAGCAGTAAAATTAATGCAATCTTTAAAGATCTTCTTTACTCCTGGACATCAAGCAGTGAAACTGCTGGCATGGTTATAATAAGCACTGAGCCCTCTTTTTGTTAAACTGTGAAAGTCATGGCCCCAGGGTAAGGGGTTCTGGAGTTTGGGCAGGGCTCTTTTGATCATATAGTGAAAATGCATTAATTCTTTTCAAAATTTTCTTGTTTGCTGTTGAGTGTTTTGCAAAAGAAATAAGTGCATAATTATGATGAGAAAGATTCTTTCAAAATTGTGAAATCCATGACCCCTGGATGAAGGGTTCTGATGTTAGGATGGGACTCTATTACATGTACATGTATGATCAAGTATGGGGATATTTAATCTACTGCAAAGGGGCTCAGACACGGATTTAAAGTTAACATTTTCTCAAATTTTCTGTAATATCATGACTTATATGTTGCTAGAGCATTTCACATGGAAAAATGTAATTTAAACATTCTCAAAAACTTCTTTTATCTGGAAATTATTAAAACTACGAATTTCGGGACGTGTTTGATTGACACAAACCATTTCATGAAGTAAAATATATCCTTAATACTTAAGAAAAGTAGAAATTTTGTTGTGTATTAATGAAAAATATAAAAACTATAATCCAGGAAATACAGAGTAGAAATTTGAGATAGCCAAATCAAATTCACTCTTATTGACAGTCCGTGCTCAGTGATTTGTGCAAAGTTTAACAAATTGAACCAACCCAGTAAAATGCAAACATTAACAATGAGCTCGTGTCCTGTTTACAAAAACAGATGTTTTACGTTTTTTCAAAGGCCAATATGGGGATCAGCTGGGTGTAGCATTGTGTTTTATGCTATAATTGCTCTATTGTCTGTTAATTTTGGTGATACTGGTAGACTGTACATAGCACTGGCACGCACAAGCAAGTGTCTGACTTGTTACTGATTACCAGACTAACTATTTTGATGATCCCTGATCACCTTCTTCTCTTGTTTTCAATTTTCAGTTTATTATTTATCATTTCATGGATCCTTTACAAGGTTGTATTATACTCCGGTGACCTTTAAGGCCCTTGAGCTTCTTGTTATACGAATCTTTTAAAAATGTTTTTTCTAGGCCAAAGTAGGGATTTTGTTCAATGATTCATTTGTCAAGAATGTGAGCGCTGTGACCGATGGACCTCTTTACCTTCCAAATGGCGGGAAAAAATAAACTTTACAAGGTGTCATCAAAATTCAAAAAAATGATTAATTTTTAGGAATTTTGAAGTGCTGCACTCCACATTTTGCCAACATACACGTTCAGTAGGTTTAAAAAAAAAAGAATGCAAGGCCAACTTACTCCGATATGGACACATAAAACACATTTTTTAGCTCACCTCGACGAAGTTGAGATGAGCGCATGTAATATTACCCTTGTTGTTGGTGTCCTGGTTAAAGTTTAAGAAACAAATCGATTTCCAAAGTAATTTCAACCCCTAAAATGACTTAATCTCATGATGTGCAACTTGTAGGAATGTAAACCTCCAGACATGCCAGGCGCGGATCCAGGAATATTTCCAGGAGGAGGAGGGGGGGGGGTTTCAACCCCAGATCCCCCATCAAAAAAAAATTTCCAACCCAAAATTTTTTTGACAAGCACAAAAAAGTCAATTACATTTCCCAAACGTGAAAAACACCTATTTCGTGGTAGTGATGATGTGGGTCCACGTTTTCTAGGGGGAATCCAAAGTTATTTGCTTCTGTATATACGCAAATTCCAGGGGGTCCGGATCCCCCCCCCCTCTAGGTCCGCGCATGCATGCTTTGGATGCCTATATGTATTTTTTCGACGATGAAACATGTTGAAGTTTATTTTCAAGTGCCTCACCCTGACCAACGAATGTATGCATTTATGATGCATCTTGTAATGCATACTTAAACCTGTTTGCCTATGCCTATGACTTATTCTATCTGAATAATTGAACAGCTAATTTTAAATTTGTTTTTTTAAGCCAACCTATTCCCAAATTACTATAAACCCTATACCCAGATCAAACTTCCATGGATTTTTCACCTTAGGGACCTGCACTGCCAGATCATTATTTGCAGTCATTCTACAAAAACATGACCAATTAAGAATTTTTTTATGTCGCTTGCAAATTTACCGTTGTAATATCTTAATTATAAATTTAAAGGTCGATTTCAACTATAAAACTTAAAATACACACATGGTTTTGTAAATATTCACCGATATATATGCAGTTCAAGTTTTGATATGAACATAATGTAATGTTGAAAAACGTATTCCACTGCAAATCTTAATGTCGCTTCATTTATATACAAATTTCAAGATGACATTTTCAGCCGTAAAATCGTTCCGAATAGAGTGCAATGAATGTTAAAAAATGTTTTTTATCCTATATAAAAAGAAATCAAACCACTTCTCGCAAAGAAATGCATAGATCTCCTTTCATGCTAATTTATAAGCATGTCGCTTAAAATCGATTAACTTCCGTAACGACTTTGTTTTAAATTTCACGCATAGAATGCAGATTTCAAAAAGAACTGAAACTTATCTGAAAGTGACCACGGAACCTTATATTATCGATTCTAGTTGCGAGTCAGCTATTTTACATGATTATATTTTCGACATAACAAAATGAATTAGACAAAAACAGTTGTCTCTCTTTTTTTAACTTTCGTAACGGTAATTCAGGAAAGTTTTTGCATTTAATGTATAAAATGTTTGATTATTTGGGAGCGAAATGCTTCATACTTTTGTTTAGTATTCTAAAACAAACTTTGATTTTAACTATTGAAGAGAATGTTAACTTTTATTGCTGGGAATTAACTTCCGTAACGATTAACTTCCTTAACGATATTTTCCCCGAAAATTTAATTTAAATTCGGATTCATGCGAGACTTCATGAATCATACCTTAGTGTTCTTTACTGAACATCAGAAACGAAAAATTGGTCAAATTCAGCTTTATTTAAAAAATGATAAGGCTTGATCAAGCATTAACTTCCGTAACATTACTTTAAAATCAATGGTATCTTGAAATTGTTGTAAATAGTTAATGATACCAGATTTGTGAACAATTCTTTGTTTTCAAGTTCACTGATAGGTCCTTTAGAGAATTATGATGTTCATTTTGCTATTTGAAACAATTATTTTTTTCATGTTTTTTTTACTCTGAATTGGTCCATTTATCGTAGAATGACTGTTAAATGGTGTCGGAGAGGCTTTACCTTCTCGCTTCGTAATCTGTAAATTTGTATAATCTGTATAAATTTGAAATCCTTTTCTACAATGACTATAAATATCAAAGATGGTTAACTAAATGAAGACATTTTGATATTCCCTCCCTTTCACACACTCTTGACGCAGTAAAACTTGATTTTCAATCAGTAGGCCTTGATGAAGAACTTAACTGCCAACCAAATTTATATTCCCTTGTTATTTGTATGTGCGTCCACAATTACTCACTAATCGAATCTTTATCCAACATCGTAAAGCCATGATAACTGAGTAGCTTCCTTGATTCATGAGATGGAATTGGGATGACCTTTTATTTTACAGCATACCAAAATAATTGCCTCCAAGTACTATATATAATTTGTTTGGAGTTCAATTAAGATTTTCTTTACTTTGCAACATGAGTGCATGTCCATTAAAAGTTGCACATATAATAAGGAAGTACTTGCACATATACATGTACCTCATAAGCGTCGGAACCGGGGGGGGGGGGCTAGGGGGGCTTAGCCCTTTTTTCCAAAGATATATATAATATAGGTATTGAAAATCGGGGTGTAGTTCCTAAAGTTTTTTTTCTTTTTTGCTTCTCAGGCTTTTTTTTTCAGGTTTGAATTTTTTTCCTCTTCAATCAGCCCTCCCCCACTTTCAATTTGCTTCCGACGCCTGTGTACCGGAGTATTGTTAATGTGGTCTGGAAGTTAATCAGAGGCGCTTGTGACCAAGTCGACTCTATTTGACTCGATTTTTTTTTTCTAATACTTATGAATAGACACAAAGAGAGGTTTTGGTTGAATTGATAGCTTTCATATAAATGTACGTTAAAAACGTTACTTTACATAATGCAATTTAAACAACGACTGAGACGTTAAAAAATTACAACCATGTAGTTCAGACTTGAAAAACTTGTTAAGAAAGAGAAGTCGTATTGATATTTCTCTCTCTCTTTCTCTCTCTCTGATCACCTGAGAAATAGGGTCTTGTGAGCTTTACTGAACAACAGTTATCCCGCTTCTGTCTATCCGTCTCTCTGTCCGTCCCAAAACTTTACAAATGTTCGACCTTTTCTCTAGAACAAAGAGACCAGTCTCAAGCAGACTTAACACCGAGAATCCATGGGCAGAGGATTTGATCATCCGAAATTGGTTAAATGTACCTGGCTATGCCCTGTTTCAGTGGGAGATAATGAAGAAAATGCAAATATATACAGTGTGGGG